GGAAGGAAGGAAGGAAGGAAGGAAGGAAGGAAGGAAGGAAGGAAGGAAGGAAGGAAGCCTCATTCCCCTCTTCCAGGAGGAAGCAGGCTAGAAGGCAGAGCCTAAGAACAGCAGCCTTCCAATCAGGAGAAAACAGAGGACACACAGGCCAAGAGAAAGCCAATTCTGTTGCTTGCCAACTCTACTGTTAATGCCTTATGATTCAATAAAATAAAAGATGCAAACAGTCAATGCTTCTGCAGCTGCATCTGATAGGATGACCTTCCTTAGGACTTCCAGAGACAGTTTCCTAAAAGAGTGTTCCATATGTGTAAATGCCTTTGTAATTTCTGCCCTAAGAATTCCTATATGTTGATTTACTTGTCTCCTCTATACTTCTGTATCTGAACCATAAAACATTTTGGGCATGGGGAGACATGGGGGTTTTCATGGGGAGCATCCCAGAAGGCTCCAAAGGAGAAGGAGAAAACATCTTTCTCCAAGCCATCACCTGAGGCCTTGGGCTCCCAACCCCTTTAGACCAGTGTTGTCCAAACGTGGCCACTTTAAGAGGAGTGGACTTCAACTCCCAGAATTCTTAAAGTGGCCAAGTTTGGACCACACTGCTTTAGACCCATAGTGGTCAGGGAAGAATGACACTGTAATGAACAGCTTTTTTCAGCCAAGGACTGTTGATTGATTAATTGCATGCCATCACATTGTTTTTTATTCCTAGCAACCACATAGATTTTCTCTGTGATGATCTGTCTCTAATCTGATCCCTCAGGTCTTCTAACGTTGCCCCCATGGCCACTGCAACTGAGTTCATCCACCTTGATGCTGGTTGTCCTCTTCTTGTCTTTCCTTCCACCTTTCCCAGCATTATGGACCTCAAGAGAGCTGGGCCTTTGCATTATGTGTCCAAGATAAGCAGACAGGCAGGCAGGCAGATAGATGATGTATTATCAACTGGAGACCACATGAAGAGACCTTTTTCATGATAATCTGATCCTTCAGGTCTTCCAGCAGTGCACCCATCACTACTGTAACTGAGTCCATCCCCCTTGCTGCTGGTCGTCCTCTTCTCTTTTTTTCCACCTTTCCCAGCATTAGAGCCTTCTCCAGAGAGCTGCTAGGTCTTCACCTAATGTGTCCAAAGTGTTCATTTGTTTGTTATCCCTTTACTTTCCACCACAAGGGACAGGGCATAACACTGATTTAGGGACACCAAGAGCGAAATTTTAGTCTATTTTTACTGGTTTGAGGATGGGGTTTACCCAAGAGAGGTTAGGGTGTACTGAGCATAAAGCTTCAAAGAGGCTTGATGTGTGATGCTTGAGCTTGATGCTTAAATGTTTAAAAACGGTTTTATAATACCTTTCTAAAATTTGCTATTTTGCTGCCAAATTTGTGTAGCATGATCCTGAATCCCTCTTGGTACAGACTGCAGGTTGACTGTCCCTATTGTATCTTAATGTGTCCAAAGGATGTTGGGTTGCAGAAGATTCCTCTTCAGTTGGAAAATGAATGTAGGGTTGATTCCTTCAGTCTGGTGCTAAATGCCTTAAGAGCCTTTATTTCTTCCATAACTGTGGCCACTTGTGATTCTCAGTCCCTGCAGGAGTTTGAGCTGATGGAGAATCTCCTAAAGAACAAGCAGGAAGAAGGTGAATGCTGGGACCAACGGAGCTCGGTCAGCATCCGTTCATCCTTCACGCGTCAGGAGAGGAATCGGCTGCTTTGGGAAGATGTCTCGGCCATTGAGGAGGATGCCACCAAGATCACTGCCCTGAAGCTGCGGCTGGACGAGTCTCAGAAAGTGCTTCTCAAAGAAAGGGAGTGAGTGGCACCTCTTGACCTCCCTTCTTCCCCCACCACAGGGTTCCTTCAGGAGCAGCAGATCGGGAGCCCTGTGCCTGCAGTGCAGTTTCTCAGCCTTGCTGTTGTCTTGTCTCTTTCAGGGACAAGCTGTCCCTCAGCAAGAACATTGAGAAGCTGGAAGGTGAGCTGAGCCAGTGGAAGATCAAGTACGAGGAGCTGAACAAGAACAAGCAGGAGGTGCTGAAGCAGGTGGGCTGCCCTTCACCCTCTGAACTAAATGCCCTTGGACAGTGACGGAAGCTCTTGCATTGGCCAAGGGTGCAAAGTTGGGGTGGCAAATCAGTTTTGGTCTAACCCTTCTCCAAGCCCCAGGCTGGATGTTAGACAGATGTTCTTTCTGTGTTTCCAAAGGTCTTAAACCTCAGCGTTTCCCTACTCTGCTTTCTCTGATTTGAATCCAAATCCCAAAATTATCTCTTTGAATGCGGCATTTCTGTTTCAACAGATATTCACAGAATGCTCACTGGTGGGTCAGTGACCATTACTTGCGTCATGAAACTTCACAAATAAAGGCAGACATGGGATCGAAGTTTCAGAGGTTCAAGGACCTTGTCCCCAAGTACAGCAAAATGACCATTTTTCAAACTGCTGATGCTCAGAGAAACATACCTGTCCATGCCAAATACAATCAACCCCACAACTTACCTATGAAGCCAGCATGTACACAACACAATTGCACGTTAGTTTTCTCTGCTTGTTCAAAACATGCAAAGATATACACATGTCCACAAGTAAGATGTAACTTGATGACCACCTCTTCCTCTTCCTCCTCCTCCTCCTCTCCCTTCTTACAGCTACTGCTATTTTGGATGTCAGTGGATGCAATCTAGTGAGGTTATGGTAACTGTAGTTACTATATTGGCAGTCCCCACTTTCTGCTGCCCCAATGTGATCCACAAAGACTGAGGCTGCACAAGTGGAATTTCTGACTCCTTCTTCTCCTCTCTCTAGCTGAACATTCTCAAGGAGATTCACCAGGATGAACTGGGACGCATCTCTGAGGATCTAGAAGACGAACTGGGGGCTCGCTCAAGTATGGACAAGAAACTGGTGGAGTTACGGTCAGAGGTGAGGCTGAAGGGAAGAGTGACCTCCCTCTTGCTCATGGGCATCCTGAATGCAATTTTGTCCCATTAAAGTTTAACAACTGCTAAGCAGCAGTGGTGCTTGTGCTTTAGAACTTGTGCCATTGAATTCTGAGGAGCTGAGGTCAAAGTGGTGATTTAGAACTTTAAACCTTTGACTTGGGTGTTGATTTTGGATTTGGGGTTAGTAGGTGGAGGAGAGTGTTAAAGGTCTTTGAGTCAGATTCCAGCAAGAGATTTTGCTGCCTAAATGTCAGAGCTAGAGCAGAGATCACGTAGACCATTGACGGACAACCCTTGCCAAGGAGTCAAGTGCAGCTTCTTCACTTCTCCCAGAATTAGTTACTGTCCCCTCCTCTCTCTGTCTTGGCCTGTTGTTACCTCTGTAAAACTCATCCACGTGTAAGCTTTGTATGGGAAAATATTGTGTTTGCACAAGAAGTCACAAAAAAGCTAACCATGATTAAAATTAACCAAGCTTAGCATGTGCTGAAAATGCAGCTTTAGTCTGGTCTAATATGTTGTGTGAATATAAGCACAAGTGCTGTGTCTGTCTGGCCATTGGGTTGCCGTATGAATCAGTGGCTACATTCCATCACATGCTTAACTTAGTGACTGAAAACCCATTTTCTGGATTCAGACAAGATACTAAACCAGGAACTTCATAAAGCGTGCTAAACCACTAAATAAGTCTTACCAAGAATAAAACAAACCAAGCATTGCATGATGTGTGAATGCAACCTCCAGGCATTTAAGTGGCCTGGTTAGGCATTTTGTGGGAACACAGCCAGTGTGTTAGAGAAAAGGGATGAAGGGACTGTGTGCTTGTCTCTGTGGCTTATACGCTTCCTGGGTTATTTTAAAACTGGGATGAGTTTCATTGAGATATGTGCGAATAGTGATCCCCAAGGACTGTGATCACCCAACACACTTAATCAGGTCAGGGAAGAGGTGATCACTGCTTACTGGAACTGAGGGAGGGA